AAAATGAGCAGTCTTATGATTCAAAGACAAAAAAAAACAGGATTTGAAACAACAAAGGGAGTATTATAACACAAGCAATTATTGTAAGGCACTATACTACATTAATCCCGCAGAATATTAAAAAATCCTATGAATGTGTGCAGCAACTTTAGACGGACCATTTTTGGCTCTAACTTAGAGGAAACAAGATTTCAAAATCAATAAAGCTTCATTAAATTCGAGAAACCATAACTTGGGATTTTTACATTCCCATGGTGGAACAAAACGCAACCTTACCACATGCGAAGATAACACCCAACTATGAAACAACTGCAAAATGATGTTATTAAAATGGGAACGATGCAACACATTCAATCTGCCGAATTTTGAAGTTATCATAATTCAAACATGGATCACTAAAATTTTCGCAATATCATGAAAAAATTAAAATCGGTCCAGAAATTCTGTAATTGAAATACTATTGTTTCCATAGCACTTATCCAGAAAATATGTCTCGTTATTCAAAATGGTATAAATGTTGCTAATATTTTTGAAGACAAAGATTGATAACCGCTCGAACTCACGTGACTACATATGTGTTGAATGCACTTTAGGACCGAATCAAGCTCACTAAAAAAAGGAAACTGTAGGCAATTTGAAAATCACTGCAACATTAATTATAAACTGAGCATATCTGCACAATAAAAATTGATCAAATGTAAAGGCACAACAAAGAAGGAGTATGATTACCAGAATGTTTCATTTTTCTTTTCAAAAAATTTAGAATAGTAGGAAAGAAGAGGAAAAGAAAGGCAATATTGGGATTCATAACCATAAGTCGGAATTTAAAAGAAAAGCATGTATTGTTTCTTAATTTGAAAAATGTTAGATTTTCAAACTAATGAAAACTATTAAGGTTTTGGAAAGTGTGATAGAATGATGGAGCTATAAGAGGAAGATTGGTACTGCGCAAAACAAATGGGAAATAACATAGTACACATATAATATTATTGCTGTTTCATTGCCACTGTTATTGTCATCACTGTATTTCTGGGTGGTAGCACTCTATTAGTGTTTCATCAGTTTTATATCCGTTTTAAGACTCAAAAACGGCGTACACCGCTCCAAGCACCAGCAGCTGCAGCTGTCGTTTGCGCAGTACCCATCGTTGGGAATTGCTCTTCGGATTGCATATCTAGCTGCCATGGTGCTCCTTTAATTTCCACCTCAACACGAGGTGGCTGTGCTGGCTGTTCTGTGACACGTGGAGACATGTATTGACGACGTTCCTTAAATGGATGACTTAAAAAATTACATTGTTAAAACTGGTTCCCTCTTATTCACAAAATTTTGGCGGTAGATAATTCAATACTGTTCATATATATCTGAACTCAGCATAAATAACTACGGTAGTATACCAAATGAACAATTTTTGATTCAAACCTCACGCTATTACATTCGGATGGTTGAGAAAATTAAAATTCAAAAACAATATGGTCAATTACTACCTCATATTAAACAAAAAAAGATCCATCTATCATTTCTTCAGATAACTGCAATTTATAAACCTGTAAAAATTCTTCCTCTTCTCGACGCAATTGCTCAATGCAATCATATACCGCATCTTCATCTTTGCCTGCAATCACAACCAAATTGGGATCCGGATCGATATTCCTTGGCAGACGAATTTCTACTTTGAATTCATCCATTACCTGAATCATCTCTAACTATGGCATTTTTTCATGAGAAAATTTTCCATCGAGCTGAACTATTTGATTGTTTACCACAAGGTTTTTGGAAATTTTACCTTTTTAATAGGTTGAAGAACTACCTAGTATTTGGTGGAATAATAATCGAAAAGTTACAATTACTGTTATGCAGCTCTCATTAAATAGGAAACACTCTTACAGATTAAAATTTTTTGACAAAAAATACTGCAGTCGAGATCTTGGAAGATCAGTATTCTTTTATTTAGAATTTTGAGTTGCGAAAACAATACTTATAAACACACTAATTCTTCATTTCATATGAGACTTACCTTTTTCAGATTACGACCTTTTTGGCCTATTAAACGTGGATGAAAAGTTGCATCCAGGAAGATTTCTTGGGTAAAAAGAGACTGCACTTCACCAATTATCGCTTCCATTTCTTCTTTACATGCCTTACAATTCGCCTCATAGCCTAAAAATGACAGCATTCAAATTAATTACTGACGTACCTTTAACTTGAACTTTAAATTTTAAAAAACATCTTCAAATATCGAAACCCTGACAAATTCTTTCTTTATCTGATTTTCCTTTACATTATTTTTCCCAGAGATGCAATATTAGCTAGAGATAAATTATTAATCGAAGTACCAGTAAGCGTAATTGTGTCTGGTGGATCGCTGCTGGATCGGGGGAAAGCAATTTGAACATCATGCTTAGCACGGAGTTCGTTTACAACTTTACCACGTGGACCAATCAATCGAACATGGTACTCTGACGGGACATCAAAAGTAAGTTTGAAGGAGCGCAGACGCTAAAATTCAAAAAGTTTGCAAATTATCAAGATGTATAAAAACTCTTGAAAAAGGACCCAAAAAATACAGATAGCTGTGAATACCACTTAAAAAATTTTTGAACCAAGCAAAATTATTTCCTACCGCTTCAGACTTAAAAGAAAGTTGCTTTCTATTCTCACCTTATTATTCTCAATCTATTATTTTATTCTCAGTTTTATGTGTCAAAAAGATAAACGATTAAGGTCTCATTGGCCAGTATTAAGGTTTCTTTTTCTCGCAATGGTTGGTAAGTAGAAGTAATTAAACAATACGAAATAAATGAATACTCGAATTTCTGCTGCTTCTTCAAATTCACTAACACGCTTCAAAATATCAGCTACGGCAGATTCAACATTCTCCGCTGTTCCAGTTATCACGATTTCATCTAAGTGTGTATCTTCTGGTGGTATCGAAATATTAACATCATGCGCTTGCATCAAAGAACGTATTGTTTCACCGCTTCTACCGATCAGAAAACGATGATGTTCAAATGCAACATTTACCTAAATCTTTCTTTGAATAAAATTTACTGATTTGATTACAAGAAAAAGAACTTTGTATCCAAAAAACAACTTCGAATTTGAAATAAGCTTCATTTATTTTATTCTTTCAAACAAGATTATTCACCATATGATGGTAAGCAAGGCCAAAACCCTGTGTATTAATCGAAACTTTCAAAAGGCAATGAATAATGCAGTTTCCATAAAACTGACTGTTTTGGTGACGGGTACTAAAGCTTTAAGTGCTTCAGCCGTTTCTTTACAACGTTCATCTCGTCCGCTAATAATAATAGTATCAAGCAGTGATGGCCCATCGTCTGTATTTCTTACATTTTCCTTTTGAGCAGTTTCTGAAAAAATTACCGGAAAAATAAAAAAAGAAAAGATAAAATCTAAACAAGCAGTTTATAAGAAGGAAAACAATCTTGATTCGCAGACTGAAGGAAAATTTACAAATTACGAATAAAAAATTATTCTAAGCTTTTCTCAAAAAAAGATTTTAGTTGTAGGCTGCTGCTTTAGAACCAAAGAGCAACCAGTTTATAATAATGCTTTCTGTCGCGAGGTTCCATAAAACAAGTTACTTCTTTCTCGGAAAACAATATGAAATAAAACCCGTGAACTCATGATGCGAGCAAAACTAAGACTTAATAAGCAACTTTCATATAACTAAAATTTCACGAAAGAGTCCATACGAGTACCTCGCAGTCTTCGATCCGGAAATTTAATTTGAACATTATACTTTGACTGAAGCTCTTGAATTTTTTGTCCACGATTTGAAAGCAGTGCGCGATGATATTCACCTGGGATCTCAACCTTCAAAGTTGTTTGCGACTCCTGCAATAAAAGATGCTTATTCATAAGTAGCTGAATGGACAAAATAGGACAACAATGGTTGATAACACGATGAGAGTGACCGTACCATTTTAAGGCAAAATTTAAAACATATAAGAAAAGGAAAGCACAGAACTACTTCAGGATGATTCATTTTAAGAAGTCAACTCACAAATTTTAGGAATTTTTCTTTTATGAAATATTTAACAAAGCTTCAAACTGACCAGGTCTTCTACAATTTCTTCAATTCGAGCCTTCGCACACTCAACACATTGTTTGCTTCCTTTTAGTGTTACCCTGCTATCATTTGTACCAGCGCGAGGAAATGAAATTATCACTCCGCCGTTCTGATCCTGGATTTCACGCAGTACTGCGGCACCACGAATAACGAAATGTCGATGATACTTAGGGTCAACCTCCATTTTAGTTTCAACATTCTCGTTCTAAAAATCTTGAGTAAAATTTTTCTGGTGGATTTCTGAAATAAAATGTACGATAAATTCTAAAATTTGTTAATTCGTTTACGATCTGTTCGTCTCAATTTCCTTATGGTAATGAGAAATATAAAGACAAAGAATAATTTCCAAAATATAAAGTTAACACAATGCAAATGTTTGTTGGATAATTAGGTAACTGAAGCGCCCAATCAAACCATTCATATATATAGGGCAGTATAACGTAGCATCATTATTTTATTAAAGTAACTGTACTGTATCTAACCATCACTAGGATACTACAATTCATCATATGCATCAAAAATTTATCATAAGTTAGTTCATGATAATTCATCAATTCATCGTAAGTTAGTTCATGATAATGCCGTCCAATAATGAAATTATTTTATTCTTCACCACAAACGAAAATGCCTGCAGAGAGATCGTAAAAATAAATGACTCTTACCAATTCCGTTATCATAGCTTCAAGCTGTTTCTTCACTTCTATCACATCATCTTTCTTGCCAACAAGATGGATGATATCCTTGTCGGTGTCACTGTCGCGTGGAAATAATATACGGACATCGGAATACATTTCGCGAATCTAAGCGAAAAATCATCACTAACAATATGAAAAACTTATAACAACTTTCATATTTTTATTTTATGTCACCTTATACGATCGCTCTTAATTGTAGCTCTTCCCAATAATCTTCAAGAAAACTGAAGTTATAAGCTCCCATCTATACAAAACAATTCTCGTCATTTTATCATCTAACAAACTGCTATTGAATAAAATTAACTACGACATCGAAATTTTAAAATGGAAAGGGAATTTATTTAGCACACAATGGTGGTCTATGTAGTGTTACATTTAAAAATATGTAAACCGTCGAAACTGGGCGATGATTAAATTTCTTATCTCTTTTAAATTTCTTTCGTTTTTGTAAATTTATTAAAAAATTTAAAATATCTTGCAAATCGCATTTAAAAATAAACCTTTTTAATTCGCGAACCTCCTCTTCCAATGATAAATCTGTGGAATTCGGGTTTTGCTGAGACGGAATCCTCAAAACTCGACAGCTCGCGATCTTTTGCTAAAGCCATTAGCATTTTTTCGGCTCGTGCAACATCATCCTTAGGACCACGGATGCTGACCTACAGTAAGAAACATGAGCAATAGCAGAAATGAAAAAAGTGAATACACATGCAAGGGACAATTAAGGTATTGCAAGCTCGGCACTTTTACCGTGTCAAATAAAATAGAACTGAGTTTAAGCTATCGGATGTGACAAGCTCTGGAATGATTGATTCTTATAGAAAAATATCTAGCCTCTTAGAAGAACAATTATTTCCACCTTTTCCCTTTCTACTTCATTATTATCAAAATTTTATATCTAATAAAGAAGCAAAAAATTGCAAAGTGCAAAGTAGGCGTATGAAAAACCTTATCCGAAGTAGTCTTTTCTGGTGGAAATTTGATATGTACACCGCCACATTCATCCTGTATGTTGAGTATAAGCCGACGACCACCACCAAGAAGACGAGCATGAATTTTTTGAGGAATGTTCACTTCTACTGTTATGATACTAGCCTTAAATAATGTTGCTCTGAATTATCCAGTAACTTGCATTAAGAGGACGACTACTTGATGGCTTTTTATTTTTTGAGTGCCATTTTGAAACATTGACTAAGTAACCAGAGCTAAACTTGATCTCACTATTGAGAAAAAGCCGATAGGGATATACATTTTAAATTGAAAATGTAAGACACAATTTCATTTTAGTTAATCTTACCAATTCATTTTGAATTTTAGTTAACTGTTCAACAGCTTTTTCCACGTTCGCTTTCTTTCCTGTAATTGTAATTTTGTCTTCGCCACTTTCACCACCAGGCAGATCGATTCGTGTTTGAGTCTCTTCGCGAATTTTCCTGATGTTAGTACCACCTTTACCAATGATATGTTTGTGAAATTCTTTGAAAATGGGGACTGTCATTTGGAAATTACTTTCCAGCTGAAATATAGCAAATTTAATTTTCTTCGTTCTGAAGAATCATGCTGTAGATAAAAATGAATTTCGGTAAAAATTAAACATTTAAAATAATTGAAGAAATTGAAAGCTATTTACAAATCCAACTTAGATCCAACTAAAGTAATACTCACCAGCTCTTTATTCATCACAGTCAATTGCTTGTAAGCCTTATCAACTTCAATTTTGTCACCTCTTAGGTTAACAATGTCCGACTTTTTTCCAGGATCCGGAAACGAGAAAATAACTGATGGAAATTGTTCACGAAGTTTTTGCACAGTTTCACCTTTGGCACCAATTAATTGTTTATGAAAACGCTGTTCGATAAGTATATCTCGAGTTTTTTCGTTCTCCTAGAAAAAAAGGAATTAAAGTGCTACAGAAATTCTGCCAGCTAATAGGAACTATAACATTATCCACAACTATAAAGACTAAAGATTATGATATTATGAAATTCTAAGACCTGCTAAAGGCGTGTAGGCTTCTCTCCTTTTCACTTGATTGATGATTTCTGTTGGTTACGCAACAGTAATACCCTTCCTCAGTTATTATCATTATCACTGGGTAGGATCAAAGACTACGGCACATTCAAAAGTACAAAATCATTCATCAGACGGAAATCGACATTTCAGCACACAAAATGACGCTGTCAAACATACGATTCTCTTCACGATTTCGGTTATCTCTTCGATGGCTTTCTTCACGCCTTCCTTATTACCCTCGACTTTGATTTCATCCGAATTTGTTTGTTCATTGGGAATACTTATCTGGACTCCAGTTTCATCCTTGATTTTGGAAACTGAAGCGAAACGTTTAATAAACAATTTAGAGTAATCGGGGAGCACTATACTATTAGCTTAACGATGTTTAACTTCTAGACTATGAGCATACAATTTTTTCTTTATACTTATAACGTTTACATAATCATATTCTAAATGAATCAGATCCTGATCTCTGCATAGCCACAATCAATATATATGTCGTAAAAATCTTGTAGTTAAACAATGTGACAGATAAGCAGGTTGACTGTGATTTGAAATGAACGACGAATCTATCTGTCAGACTACACGAAATGGTAGAGATACAAATATTAAGATATCTTTCTTGCTTAGCCTAAAATTAACATGCATTATTTCAATGCATGTTAATTTTAGACTAAGTAAGAAAATAGATAAAAGCGAATAAGAAATACAAACTCAGAGCTCCCCCTCTGCCAATAACATGACGATGAAGTGATGGGCTGACTCTGATAGTTTCTGAAGACATTTCATCGGTCAGGCGCTTGATTTCGCAGAGTAATGACATCTGCGCCTTCTTCACTTCCTCTGGTGCTCCTTCCAAATAGATTAAACCATCTTGTTCGAACCCAATCTGAACTTTATCCTTGTTTGGGACTAAAGTCTGAAAAATAAAGAATAAAATAAGGATGCATAAAGATGTTGTAAAGTTTTAGCTAGTAATCACCTTAACTTATCTGATTAAACGAAATTAAATTTTTAAATTTTAATAATAGTAAATTCATTCTAAACTAAAAAAGTAATGAATTTAATGTTCTCTGAATTTTCATACAAAAAAACAAACACGCAAAGAAAAAAACAAAAGTAAATAACCTGAGACCAAAAAGTGTTTGAATACAAGTGGATAAAGGAGTAACATATCAATCAAAACAGATACCTCTAGAGTAGCTCCTTTCGGACCGATGAGAAATTTGTGCATCCACGATTCACAGGTAATCTCTGCCGTGATAACACTACTCGCTTTAGCGTAAACCATTGCTAATGCTTCACCTAGTTTAGTTGGATCACCACGTAGAGTTATAGTGTCGGAATCTTCCTCCTCTGGAGATACTTCGACACTTACACCAGTTGATTTCAATATTTCAGCTAGTCCACGTCTTTGAGGTCCAACAACATAACGATGCTGTGCACGTGCTACCTGAACCTTTGTGAAGTAAATATTTCCTAAGTTGTCTAAAATTCAAATTAGAAAAATATTGCAAGTATGACTGTAAATTTCAATGCGGCGTAATTAAACACATCAACAAAATTGCAATTAGCTGGAAAAGACTACACATATGCTGGCCAGTGTAAACTAAAACAAATTTGGATCAGAAAATTAGAATATGAAGAAAGGAAAATTACATCTATTATTCAAACATACTAGAATTAGTTAAAAATATCAACAAATTTTTTTCTGGTCCAAATTTTTATTTGAAGTAATGATTGTGCATGATCGTAAGTCTAGCAAACAAAGAAAAATCTGGAAAAGCTACCTGACATGTTACTGGTTTCGCAATTGTTTTCATATTCTCATAAATTTGGCGAACAGCTGAAGCAGCCTGATAAACACCTTCCTTCTCACCAGTGATGACAATTACTTCACTGGATGCAGCTGGTGGTGGAATGTTAATTTTGGCACCCGTCTTGGAGGCTAATTCATCGATAGTTTCATTGAATGGCCCACGAATGAACGGATAATAGACGCGTGGTATCAACAAATGTTCTTGCGCTAATTTTGACTTAAACCAATTTATAAAATCCTAATACATGTCTAAAAATGGCGAATAGAGAAACCATCAATGAAATATAATGATTCATGCACAAATGACTTGCAAATGCTGGCTACATTCAAAGTCAAAAATGAGAACAGCGATAGTGAGGCAATAGTGATGATAATGAAAATGTTAATAAGTAATAATAAATAGTAATGATAACTAATGACAACGGCAATGGTGTTGATGATAATGAGAATGAGTGTTGTGGTAATAATAGTAATATATGATAAATAACAATAATTAAATAATTAAATCATAAAAGCAACAATAATTAAATCATAAAATTAGATCTAACTCTACCTGTTTATCGCTTACGAGTTGGATTTCATGCACTGCTTTTTCGATACCATCACGTGGACCAATTATTTTAATGATATCACTCGGTGAATCACGGCCTGGTACCATTATTCGACAATCCGTATCTTGTTCCAGTTGTCGCAGCTTGATACCTTCTCTTCCTGTAGTGAAAAAATAGAAACTATGCAATAATTGTTGAAGTGTCTCAATTAAGCTGATTTAACAGAATTAGTCTTGGCACAAATATCCATGATTTCCCATTTTTATAGATAAATACATAGCATGAATAAATATTAATGATTAACAAAAGCTATCTCAAACAAACCAATCAAGACACGATGATGTTCTTTTGGGACTGCAATTTCACGAGCTGCCTGAGTTTTAAGCTTTCGTGCAATATGTGAACGTGCTTCTTCAACTTGTTGACGTTTCCCAGTGATTAGAAGCGTTAACGAATGGTCTTTAGCCTCACAAATTTCAATCTCTGTACCAGTTGCTATAGCTATTTCGTTGCATTTTTGCTGTTCTTCATTTGTATTTCCGAAATTTTTACTACTAGTTCTTGAAGCCCGTTCATCACCAGAAAGATGATAAACCTGCAAAATATCTAAACTAAAAACCGAAAAATACAACCGAACAGTTTTCTAACTAGAATAAATGGGCGTAGCAAAATACATCTAGGAATGTCAGAGAAAGCAAAGGCTATAGAAACAACTCTTTTTGGCACCAGTGAAGGTTTCAATATAATTTATCCATATTATTTAGAACACAGCGATTTAGATAAGTATGATTTGAGAGAGCAACATTTATTTCCTCAAAACCTTTATAACACTGGTTGTCGCTATTTTTTTAAAGCAGTTTACTCATATAATATAATAAGACGTGTCATGCATCCCATAGTATAAATAAGCAAAAGCGACATTTTTCCAACCCGTCCAAATTTCTTTTGTTCAATCCAATCCAGGTATAAAAAATATGAAGTTAGAAAAAAAAATAAAGTGTCTTATCGTAAAACTAAAAGTGAATCAAGAAATGACCTGAGTAGTTCTTTCCGAACGAACTGCGGGGGGCTTACTCCATACACCGCCAAATAGCTGTGAAGCGCATACATTCGGTTTATCTGGTAGTTCCGGGAAATCTGTGCTATAATCAAGAACACTAACACCCGTTTCAGAATGATTTATCCCACTTGCCTCTCCAGTACTACCATTCTGCAACGTTGTATGATGACGTTCGGCACCTGGTGCCAAATTTAGTGATCCTAAAAATTTTAATTAGACTAAACAGCACAATATTAGAATCATTGGCGATATCCTAAAGCAATAGACTTCTCTATCAATACCTTATGTCATATAATTAAACAATTGAACTAAGTCACCAAATTACAGTTCTGTATTATATTTGTCTTCTTTCCACAACCAGTTCCGTCACATAACTCGACAGACTTTTTTAGGGATTTTATGGATATCACCAATGTACAATGTCAATCTATGACCCGTTATCGTAACAAATGCGCGACAACAAAAACTGTCCGCTCCATAATTCCTATTTCTTTTCATATTCTATTATGAATGTAACACCATTAATTTATGATAAAAAATTCGGTGTGATTAAAGAGTAATGCTAATAATTTCACCATAAATGATATTAATTTCAAAATCAGTTTGAAGACTTAGTCTTACAAATAGAAAATACAACTAGAAATAAGAGCAGAATAAAGGTATTAAAAAATGAAAAGAATAAAAGGAGCCACAAGGAATTAATTAACACTAATAAAATGACAAATATCAACCTTCGTTCGCTATATCAGATGGTTCAATAGATTTCTCCTGCTCATAATTTACAACCTTTTCCATGTTTCATGCAAAAATTTCTCACTGTATAGTTCCGGCTCGTTAATCAACAGTGATCGGCTCGCGTGTTCCGTTGGGCTAGTTCGGGCTTCGTTTTTCAGTACTGAAATGTTATAGATACTGACCTGATAACTTCGTTGTCCTTGCAACCACAACAAGAATGAATAGGAACAACAGATATTTATATAGCCATAGGATCGTGATCACTCTAATATTGAGAAACAAAGTATAATAAGAATTCACTTTTTTTACTGACAGTGAAAATTTTTCAGAACGCATAATTAGATTTCTTCAACTTTAACAAGAGCTATTCCTTTAAAAAAAGATATGCTTTTTTGAGCTAAGTATTTTAATTATTGAATTTATAAGGTAAAAATAATATCTGAGCTACATATCACAACATTACTTTACTTTTAATCAGATTTAACATTCATACCAACTTATTTCCTTCAGAGGAAACGTAAGTTGAGAAAGTGGAGTATATGAACAGACTTCCAAACGAGAGCTACAAAACTTGAAAGTTCAGCAAATTTACCAAACTACGATTTCTGTAATTTTTTAAAAAGGTGCATCAAAAGGTGCATTGATAGAAATTAATCATTGAAAATCTACTCACTAAAGTCAACAATTAAGTATAGTTCACCTTCTTCAATAATCTTTTTTTACAATCCTTACAGCTTTTCAATTATAACACTACAAAAATGCTTCATGCAGCTAATTAGTCGAGATGATATTTTAGAAAATTCTGATCTTTCATAATTTCCTATGATTTCATACGACATTAATTTCTCAAAAACCAAAACAAATTCGAAGAAAATAAACCTACCAAACTGCTTAAGGAAGGCCTTTGAGTAGCACCTGATAAGAAGATGCAACCCAAAATTGTAAATGTATTGCTTTTACCTGTAAATTATTCGGTAGACTAAATTACATTTACAGTTAGATCAAGCAAAAATAACGATTAATAAGCTCTAAACGATTGGACGATTGTAAGCCATACTTACAGTATCAGATTACTGAAAAAAATAAAAATGGGAAAACCCCACTTATTTGATCAATCAATAAATAACAAATATGAATTACAACAATAATATAACCGTTACAGTTTTTATCTAATTTTTCCCTAAAATATTTACAATGCTAATTACATAACCATACCGTTCTGTTCTATCAATTATTTAGAACACTTTTTTCCTGGATAATTTCTATTTTCTGTTTATTTGAAATTTTCCGAAAATGGGTGATCTTTTGAGGGATTGCATGAAAAACAAAAAAAAAAGAAAAAAAAACATAAATCATATATCACTGCTGAAGACAAGCGGTTCATCCTTTTGTACACTGTACATAAACGTAATTCATCGAAAAATGCCAAATAAAAATTAAACATCAGTACAAATCTAATTTTAAACATAAAAAGAAACTACGCCCCACATACCTCATTTAATCAAAGAACACACCGCTTCTCAAAACTCCCCCCGAAACTATCAGTTTACGCGGCAAAGTAACCACAAAAAATTAACGCGGCCAATCTGTGATTATTCATATTGCGGTTTTCGAAAAAATTTGACAATACTCACGTCTCTCTGATCACAAAGTAACGATCATTTTAAGTGTTAGCAAATGCGAGAAAGAATATGAGAAATGCTAAAAATGATTGATATCTTAGAAGAAGATAAGAATCAAAACGATCGATAATAGTAATGGGAAAATGTTAAAAGATAGAGTGATTTTGGTCCTCTCAATTTTTACATCAAAACTTAACGCATACATTAACATTTTTATGCTTTATTCTTGAAATTAGCTCTCAATCGCTAGATTTATGCTTTATTTTAGATCATAAAAAGAGAAAATGAATCGAATAGTTTTGATATATGATTGGTTAAACATTCCAATGATTACTGTCATATGCATTCACCATAATTTTTATATTTCTTCGAAAAAAAAAAAAAACGATTTGATGGAAAAAATAAAGAATTGTCAACTGAATGATTTAACAAAGTAAACAACATTAACAGAGCATACAGCGCGCAATAATGATAAAGAATGATCGTTGATTTACATTTTGCTGCATTTTAACATATTACAATAGACAGTGATGATGATGACAGTGATGATGACAATGATGATGACAATGATGATGACGGTGATGATGATGTGTCATAACATTAGTAGATATGTTTCTATTATTGATTGTTGCGGATCGATCATCGAGAGATGTGACACAGCGAGCGAATGTTTAATTAAATTGAGCACTCCTTCGATTTTATCTGCATATTGATGCTATCCGAACAATTTCTGGATGGATTGATTGATTCGACAACGAATAGGTCATTCAATCAATCAATCGTTTTACTGCTGTTTTCTTCGTTATTCTTATCGTTATCTTTGTGATGATACTATTGTTATTATCTGTTCACTCTTCTCATCCTTCATGAGTGTTAAATAAGTGAAGATAAAGTGATCATTCGGAACAGTTGCAATTTATCAGGTAAGAAGGGAAACTATCTTTCATACATGTTGAATGTACGAAATTGAAATTTACAGTAAAGTGACATTTGCTATGTCAGGTATTTTTGTGTGAGATAGTTCGGATGTTTACATCGAATGTAACAGTTAATGAGGTACATTTTCAAGGTATGTATGAATTCGTTTATAGTTATTTTGCTAAAATAAGAAATGGGAACGTAACATCTCTCGCACATCATCGTGATCCTCATCTTCTTCAGCTTTTCCCAATATGCTCTTGAAATATTAAATACTGGCACTTTTTCATATTTTTCATTTGTCTCTCGTTCGGTATTACAAATTATTTGATCTGATATAGTTGTAACAAAATTTCTTCATTATTTCTTTCAAGCAATTATGGACGATGGATATTCCTGAATTGCTACAGTTATAATTTTCTTTGTTGATAAGTGCACTTTTGACATGTTCTTTTCTTTGTTTGAAGTTATGATGCTTGTAATATATATAAATAAAAGTTCTTTTTTGTTTTACTACTCCTCTAATTTGAAATTTTTGCACATTTGAGGAAGGCAGGTGGTATATTTTAGCTATCCTTTTCTACTTATTCACTCTGAATAATAAAAAAAAAAATTCCCGTATAACAGAACTGGCAAATCTTGGATAACATAATCGTTTCAATCATCTTTTCGAGAAGTATCTCAAGTATGAGAAACAAATTATTACTAAATCATTTGTTTGATCACGAAAGAGATTCTGCTGTAATTACTGATACAAACAAAGTGTATGATTTGTGAGACAGCATATGAAGCTAACATACAGCTTAATTCAAATGCATACAAAATAAGATCCGTATGTCTCTCCAATATATTCAGAAAAAATAAAGGATCAGTGTTTGTAAAGTTTATTTGCTCACCATATGGACAACAATGGTAACGATCATTTACAGTTATTAGTAATCATTTGCACGTACCAAAACATCTTTGCAGTTATGGGATGCATGAGCAAAAGAAAAGAAAGTAGTGAAAGAGTGCAAAATGAATTTACTAGAATACCTTCGAACCGTATTAACATTATTTTAATGACCAAATAACGAGTTACAACACTGACAAAAATGTCATGGTGTCAACATCTTAATGACAATGTCGTGATGATACAACGTTGTGATGACAATGTCATGCATGATTACAAACAATGTCATGATGATAACATCGTGGTCACAATATCGTGATGATAGCGTCATGCGTGATAACAAACAATATCATATGCTGATAACGTGATGGTAACAACGTCGTGATAACAACATCGCGATAACGACACTCACAACTATTCCTATATTATAATTCTATCGATGTCATATTTTAACTTCATGGCTGCGTTAAATTTTTTCACCGTTTTCGAAAAGTTCAAATTTTGCATTATTTCGGAATGAGCTAACACGTGGTGGACGTGTGATATGCTGATATACAGCATATTGGATTGAGAGGTTAGTTATTTTATGTTTTGTTGTTTTTTGATCTCGTATTTCTGTTCTCTTATGTTTTTTTTTTTGAAGAAAATTCCTTTATTTGAAGTATGCAACATTATGACTTTAGTTTGGAAAATAAACACCTTAAGTGCAAAGGGAAGCATCAGTTGTGAAAGTTACCTTGTAATGCGTTTCACCTTACTAGATAATCATCATAATATCTGTGATAACAATATTCTGTAAATTCACATCATTGCAACATCATTGTTTTTTTATGCATATCATCACATTAGCTGCGCAATTAATCTTTATGTCAGTACTGAAACAGTCACACTACAACAGTATGTAGCTTTTCTTTTTAGATTTGATGATGCGATTAAACCTGAGAAATACGTTGACAGTATTTCGAAATGATGTCGATGTACAGCATTCATTATTTTCGGCTTCATTTGCTGTAATATTAATCAGTATGGCGTATATATTTCGTGTTGAACAGTGGAAATTTGAATATGTAGCCTATTTCTTGTCGATTCCAATGGCGGTTTTGTTGTGCGGTTGGCGTGCACGTTGGAATGCAGCGCAGGCATCTTTTCTTGGTGGTACATTCACGTTGTCTTTATTATGCGCATATACAACAAGTAATTTGTATTTATCAATATTCGCGTGGTATTTCGCATGCATAGCGGCATTTCACTACGGAGAATTCCTGATGACAGCGTTAACAAACCGATCAGACTTGAATGCTACATCATATCTTCTGGATCATTCAGTAGCATATTGGGCAGCTGCTCTGATAAGTTGGGTGGAATATGCCGTAGAAGTACGTTTCTTACCGCTTTTGAAAAATATTACTATAAGTTACATTGGATTAGGACTCATTATATTCGGTGAAATTTTACGGAAACTTGCTATGGTTCATGCGAATGGCGGATTCACGCATATGATTGCAATCGAAAAGCGTCCAAGACATAAATTGGTCACTAGTGGTGTGTATGGTTTCGTACGACATCCAGGATATCTTGGCTGGTTACTCTGGTGCTTGGGTACCCAAGTAATGCTCTGCAATCCAGTATGTTTATTCCTTTATTTGCTCATTGGATGGAATTTCTTCAACAAAAGAATATATTGGGAAGAGCGTTATTTGATCTCTTTCTTTGGTGCAGAATATATTCAGTACCGAAGGAACGTTCCGCTCGGGATACCTTTTATTAAAGGATACGAATCATGACATCGAAATAGTTTTTGATGATATGGTATTACTGTAATTTTTTCTCAACCTTACCTCATGGAGTTAGCATGCATCTATGATAACTTAAACTGACAGTGATTCATGAAAGTTGCATATTTATTGGAGGTTTTCTTTATAATGTTCTTCAACCAATGGTGAGCTTTTTTCAAGAAGTTGTTCTGTGTGGGCTTTCTGAAAAAAACATATTAGTCGTTTAGCTATTGTTCTTGGTTAGAACGCCTGATTCACAAGCGCATCTTGTTATGCTTAAATCTTCCTGTTCTTTATATTTTTACAATCCATACATCCTGAAAATCATAAACTGGAATAAGATCTGCAGATGGGCTTTTCGGGAAATGACTAAAATTATTTCAGTTACAATTATTTTTTTAAGGACGAATGCAAATATAATTGTTCACATGTTATAAAAAAAAATTCAATAGACTTTTCTTTACAAGAAATTTACAACCTCCTATAACAAGCAACAAGTGACAGATCGAACTTGCTACTAGTTTCAAAGGCCATTAGGGTTGCTTGTTGAAAGCTTTTACTTTCCTTATAGGTCTTTTCATATTTTTTCTTTCATTTCAAGATCTCTACTTACGTTTGAGATTTTGTTATTGTTCGATGTAATAGCAAACACCTGGCCATAAATCAATAGTACGGTTAGTATTAAAATTGGTGAAATAGACTTTTTTTGATAATTGGTGTTTTGTTGCTTTACGGGAATAATGTCATATATAAAGTTCTTGCATATTCATTATATTGTATTTGCGCAGGTTACAGTACTAAAATTATAGTTATTAATTGCTGTACAACAATTAATAACTATAATTTTTGAAAATATTATGATATGCCGTACGTTAATTCAGAATTTTTTTTGCTGTATTTATTAATATATTTTGGTTTACTTTTCTTTTAAATTCTTCTGCTGCTTTCTGGCATAAATTAATGTTGAATTTTAAAAATTAAATTTGACTTTGAAAATTTTGCTTGCTTGTTATGCATAATTATTGCGAAACTTAACAAGTATCTTATTTCGGACAATTTGCTATTTGCGATGCTTTCCAGAAATTTGTTTTGGAATTTTACCAGATTTTATTATGGATCTTCCTGCTCTTCAAATATCCTTATTTTATAGTACTTTGGAAATTATGAATTAGTGATGGCAAACGTAGATGTCTCGTAATAAACGTAATTTGTTATACTTTTGTTATTGCTCAATAAAATTTCAAGATGAATAAGGGGAATCCATCAATCGATTATGAAGATCTAGAATCAGAATTTGACTATGCAAATGATGCTGGAAGCAGTATCGACAGGGGAAGAGGTTGTCGAATACGAAATGATGAATTATGGAAGAAACCACAATTTGGAGAAACTGCCTTACCAGATCGAAAAAAAGCAAAAGGCGTATTTGATAAAGAACAATCCTGTTTTGAAAGGTACAGTTTGCTATTCAGGATTTTTTACCAAGAAGGATAGGGAAAGCAAAGTGGAGGAATTGAATGACAAAATACTATTACAAGGATATAACTATGCATTTTGTCATTATAATATTGATACCGTCTTTGAAACCTGTTATAATTTTTAGCTATTTTTCAGACGAAAACAACGTTTAATGACATTGGATGTGTATACGCGGCACAAAGAACTCATAAATCAGTATTATCTCTGTTACCCAGGTGCAACAGCAAAACTGCAGAGAGATACATCCCGAGATCGAACTGATTATGAAGTCCTCAAAGATAATCACAGATTTCTTTGGAATGATGATGAGGTTTCACTTGCATTGCGTAAAATTTATTTACTTGTAGAAAAAATGAAATTACGACAAAATTAATTATTAGTGAAGCATATAATGAAACAGTCTCATTTTGTGTTTTAGTAAATCCATTTCATCTTTTTCAGTTAATGAAAGCAGCAGAAAAGTCGTGGGAAGCTCGTTTAGCCAAGCGATATTATGATAAACTTTTCAAGGAATATTGTATTGCCGATTTTTCGCAATACAAAAAGAATAGGTAACCATGTTTAAGATATATTTGATGCATTAAAATTTTGAGATGAATTTTAACATCCATGTGTCTATAAATAGAATGTTACCGAAAAATTTAAAATTGTGCTTCAAACTGATAGATAATTATCTTTCTATATATTACTTTATTGATTGTTTCATAATTTGGAAATTTCAGAATAGCCATGAGATGGCGAACTGAAAGGGAAGTCAGGTCAGGAAAAGGCCAATTTGAATGTGGTAATAAAAGATGCACAGAAAAAGACGACCTTAGTAGTTGGGAGGTAAGTCTTAATGTGAATCAGATTTGAATTTCAAATGATCTTTTAGTTATATTTTGATGGTATCGAAGAATTTTTCATTATGACTGGTACATTTTAAATTGCATGTTTTCAAGTGAAAAATCCCAGTACTTTTTAGATTCGAAGTGTTTTCATTAAAATACAAGACGCTTTGAAGATAAAGTAGAATAAGGTCTTGAATGAATCGCTTCATTTCCGGTTAACTTTGCGTATTTGGAGAATAACATAAAGAAAAATGCTCTTGTCAAGTTACGACTATGTCCCGAATGCTCGAAAATGCTCAATTATCATTCGCAGAAAAAGAAACTGGGAAAGAAAGACAAACGTAGAAACATAAATAAAAAGACATTGTAAGTTTTTTCAGAATTTCTACAACTGAACATGCATCACAGCACAATATCCAAAACAGTTTAAGTTAATATTACCAGTGATACAGTTTCTCAAAATTCTAAATATCATGTCAGTTGTTGATTTATTAGTCACCATTTAACTCTGGTTTCATAGACGATAACCATTATTCAGATCTAATGCTAGAAGCCGAAACGAAGAATTCCCGGAAGCAGATGCTTCAGAGATTCAGAAATCTGAAATTTCCAAAGAGATACCCAAAGAAGTAGAACAGAATATTGATGAAAAAATAGAAAAAGATAATTTAATGGAAATCTGGAGAAAATCGCCGGAAGACAATGATCCGGAAAAGGTTGCTGAGCAGGAACTTGACGATTTCTTGGATGATTTATTGTTATAGGTGCGTGTATGCGTATATGGATGATTTATTATTGTAGTTGCATGTATATGTGTTTTTTTATTCGGTAAACAGCGAAAAAAGGAAATTACCTAATAGGACATTGTTATGTAACTTTAATAATAGTTAAATAGTATTTTAGCTTGAAATAATCCCGAAATCTACCTGATGGGTTTAAATTATAATGGAAAATTTGAAAGACAAAATCAAATCTGCGAGTCTTTGCACACTCCATCATGATATTTATTACTATTAAGTCGGAATATAAACTAACATTTTTGGTTTTTTGCTAACATTATACTGCAAATTTGCTTGTACAAGAAATTATGCTATTTATAGTCATTTGTATCAATGAATTTTTTATAAATGGCATTAAATTCAGATAGATTAATTTAGAGCAATTAAAAAGAAGTTTAGGACTATTGATTCGATCTTTTCATGACGAAATGAATTCCTGCTAATGTTATTTATTCATCAGTACATCTTTTAACGATAAGAAGTCATATCTGTATCAAAGTCGCAAATCTCAATATCCTATCTAGTTAAGTTAGTGTGGCAAGCAGGTTGACTAAGCTAAGCTGATATTAAGTAAAAATAGCTTTAGCATTACACTTTTTTTGCATAACTTCGCATGCAATGCAAAAGTATAAGGAAAACAATTTATTTAATTCTATGAAGTACACGTTTTTTATGATCAAGAAAATTCATTATCACTTAAGGGCAAATATATCACTTAAGGGCAAATATAAACAGTACAATTCAGTTCAGATTCAGAACAACAGATGAAGATGAAATCTAATTTATCACAGTTTAAATCAGTATCGGACTTTTGAAATTCCAACCAAAGCTTCGCAGCACGTCATCAAAGCAAGTTAAATGGAAGGTTCCAGCATTTCTCAGGAAAAAGAACCTGCATAATTTTTTATACAAAATGAGTTGAATAAGAGCATACTTGTTCCTTCACTGCCTTATCCAGTACTGATCACGTTTTACTTTTTCACGCTTTCATGTAGATCATTAAAGCAACCGGTTCATCTGAAATCAAAAGAAGAAAAAAACTCTCAATGAACTATAATACATATCAACTATAATACATGAACTATAATACATATCAATTCTTCAATAATAAACGTTACTGTGAGATCGCCATACTATTTCAGGATACTCATTTGCAAATCCGAATATGCGCTCGTTATTGCAGTACCAGAATGCAAACCATCAGTAGAAAACTGCCTCATCGGAACTGACACTACATCTGTATTTCTATCCTGCGATAAATCGAATCTGATACAGCATGGTCATAAAATACACAAAATCTTTAGATGTGTTACTAATATCTTTGATTTATAGTAATTAAAATATTTTTGGTTGCAGTAAAATTTAATGAATTTCATATTTCTGTGAAATTTCATTATCTCAAAAGGAAAACATCATATTGATGTTATCACTGAAGAAACCATTTACTTCGTTCAAACCTTATTCCGAGTTTGTGATTGAATTAATTGACTATAAAAAGTTGCTTGATTTTGGGTTCGATCTTTCGACTTCGCAACCACTTCCTTGAGTTCCGCAAATAATTTACTTTTTGCTTCATCTAATTCAGTCTTCCTTGCATTTAGACATTGAATCTGAAATCCATGATAACAATTGATAAATTCATTTACATATACGCAAATTTTTAATGCCGAATTTTAACATATTCTATTAAATATCTTAACTGGGCTTTCAAATGTAAAAAAAAAATTTTTTTGATGGTACTTTATAATACAGTTCGGAACAAATCCAAATATTATGTAGAATTTAGCATTTCAATCCACGTCATTTTTCACTAAACGGTAATTACGCACAGCTATAAAAAATAAGAAATGTAGAAGCTAGTTATCCGCTTGAAAATAGAAAGTATGAAACGGTGGTTTACTTTTTTTTCACATTCGCCTATTTCTTCTTTGTACCAAGCATGTTTCTCTTCCTCATTTTTACGTTCTTCAGCACGTGCGGCACGCTCTGCGCGATCTGCAATAATCTCAAATAAGTAACATAAGACTCTTATAGAGGTGAAAGTTGAGAAATTATAGTTTCAAGTTAGAAATGGCGAAGTTATAAGTGATCATATATGCAATTAATGAATTGAATTGGTGTATATAAACTTAAAGTGTTAAGCTGCCTCATCAGACATTTTAGTTAGACATGATTTATGATGGAATCAATGAATGAAAAGATTTTTTAGACATATATGGTAATTGGTAAAATGCTTATCTGACAATCTATCAATAAAAATGGAAGCACAGAAAAGCAATCACTAAGAATAAAAAAGCTCTTGTCAATTCGTTTTCTCAATTCTGCTTACTGTATCGCTAGTATAAAATGAATGAATGAATCAAATAGATGATAGAGTTAATCCAGAACCGATCAAATGAGGAATAAATTAGATTACGATAATTATTACAGCTTGATTAAATAGAACTTTTTAAGCCTTGATTAAACCGAATTTCTCTTGGACTTTAAAAATTTTAATTCAAAATATGAAACCTCTTTCTTCTTCTTTACGTCGTGTCATAATCTGATCCAGTATTTTTTGGCGTACTGCATCTGTGGGTGGCAATAATGGTTTCCAACCAACAGGTAATGTTTTTCCTATTCCACGTCTTCGTGATAAGAATTCAGCGATACGATTATCAGTAATTGATGAAGAAGCTGTTGTTATTGCTGCTACTGATATGGTTGTTGTTGCCGTTACGTTGTCAGGCATTCATGAAACACAAAATTTATGTTAAGACGTGAAATTTGAAAAAAAGATCTACGATTTTATGTAAGCATTATAACTTAGACATCTAAACCTATCAAAAACTAACAATTAAGTCTGATGTAAAAAGATTAAAAATATTGTCGATATGTAACAATTTTATATCAAATATTTCAAAAAAAAGCATAAGTAATTGTATAACTAAATTTTACTTACTTAATATTTCTTCTTATATACTTCACTCAGTTCTTCCTTTCTATGAATTTCGTTTTTTTTTTCACTTATCTAAAGATTGCTAATGAATTTACGGAAATAAATAAGTATATAATGAGAAACGAAAGTGAAAACAGAATACAACTAAACAGAGAAGTGATATCCAACATGGGTAATCACTGGTAAATGGATTTATATTTCGAAGCTTCAATTTAATTTAAAAACTAAAATGAAGTATCACAGAAACCGATCATGTACAAATAATAGCATCATTTTAGCTCAAATCCACTAGTTGAGGAAAAGTTGGCGAGAAAAAAGACGGCCGAGATTGCGGCCGTCTTTTTCTATGATTGAAAAGATAGCGAAGTATTTTGAGTGCTCTGAAAAGTGTGGTTTATGTTACAGGTGACACTTTGCGTTGTAGAGAGTGGATGATAGTTCGGCAAATTCAAGCAGTTGTAGGTGATACTTTGTACTATCGAGAATGGATAGTAGTTCGAGAAATTCAAGCACTTATAAGTTGCACTTTGTACTATAGAGAGTGGATGGTAGTTCGGATAGTTCAAGCAGAAATACGGAGGTTTTCGGTATGACTATCGCACGTTACCGACAAATTTAGTAAATGCAAGCTCTTGCAGGATACGTGCATAACATACACCAAACCCTATTTTATTCCCAAATTGATGCACTTATCGAGAAAGGCAATAAAATTATTCAAATATTTTCAACGACCACTGCTTGAATTATTTAAAAAGGTAATACTCTTTTTTCGACCTTTTCATGTCAATTAATAAATCACTACTAAATTCTTCTTATGAGAATTTAAAATTGCAAAATTTATTCTTTAAAAAACATCGAGAAAATGTTTGCACGATATGATGTTCACATGTTAAATGATTACTGTACTGGCAAGTGCGTATCAATCGTTCAGATAATTTGCAACAATTTTATTCAAACTTGACTAGCGATAATCGAATAAAAATTATAAAACGAATTGAATTGAATTGTTTGAATTGCTTAAGATCAGAAACTAAAGTTCGCAAAAGCAAATGAGAATAATATAATTTGCAGATAATTTATCGGCTACCAATGAACTTTCCATTGTTTGTTCCGACATATGAAATTAATGGTCGCATTTATAGGCGTAATATTCAAGGGATACTAAGGTTTGAAACGAGTTTTAAATGTGTATTTTAATATTTACTATCACCAATATTCACATATTTAGCTATGTTAAAGTTTTATCAGCATTATTTACAAGGAATATATAATTAATATAATGGAAGTTTGATGTATATCATATGTTATGTTTCAAATGAATGATAATAACTTGCATGGAATTTGTATAGCAAACGTGAAGTTTTTATAATGATCCAAAGAATTAAGTATAGGTACTCAACACATTTATCTCATCAAGCCTAAAGATTTATCGAGATTCGGTTAATCATAGAAGAGTTATACGAAGTTCGTATCTATATCTCTCATACTTCACAGAAATACGGATACTCGAACGATAGAAAAATAAACTAGTTCTATTATCCCATTTTGACGACTTGAAGAATTTTATATGTGAATTTTTATTTACCGTATGAGATAAAGGAAGATGATGTTTATCATATCTTTTTCAGCATCTCTTTTATTTCTTCTATCCAAAGAATTAGATATAGAAAAACCATAATCAAGTTTGAGGTACTCAACACATTTATCTCATCAAGCCTAAAGATTTCAGTGTATTCATTCAATTTAATTTTTATCTTTTATTTTGTGAATTTATCGAATTTTTGAGCTAAATAATAGTTAAGTATTTCATTGGCATAATTTTTTTAGTAATTAATAGAATTTCAATATAATACATTATTAGGTCTTGCCCACGAGTAATCTTCTGAAATCAGTTTGTTTATTGAATGACGAAATTTGTCCTTGTTTTTTTTATAGAAATGAATATGAGGTAAATTTTGGAACCAGTGATACAGCCGATTTATACGGTGAGAGCGATTCTTGTAATTCAGCTGGTTTGTTACACAACAATTGGCTTCCTTTTTCTCAAATAACATTTTTGAATTTATATGCGAGAAATAACGAAGTTAAAATGGTCACTTCAGTAAGCCGAAATCATATGTCTAAATATAAAAATATTAATTTTGTATACATGGCTATACTGATTCAACAACAAAACTAACACTTTGTGCTATCTGTTATTGAAGTGCGATGTTATGGATTATTTTCTATCCTAATTATAGTTCGAATTCTGTCTCGTGTTTAGAGCGATGTAACAGAGGAGTATTTTCTAATCGAGCTAGATGCTGAATCCTGTCGCTTGAATTCGTTAAATGGAGTTTTTTGAATTAAAGCAGATATGAAGAAATATTTCAGCGGATACGTTAGACAGCTCCGATGAGACCACGTCAATGACTAGTGAATCGAGTAATCTCTTAACAACAGATGTGACTGATGAAACAGATGATCAGTTAAAACGAGACGAGGAATTTGTTATAAATTATAACACAAAAACAAAGAAATGGACAGCCAAGTAATTTCTAATGTTATTGTTGATATTTTCTGAAGCAAAAATCCGCTTTGTTTTCAAAAAATTTTTATGTTGCTCATGTCACACATAAGCAACAACAATATTAAGCTATCATAAAGATGGCTGAAATTATTTGAGCTGAGATCATTTTCTTATGTGTACTGAGAATACTCGATAATAATCCTGATGTTTTTTGATCTGCTTACTTTTGATTTTATATTCTGTGCTTTGATTCGAATTTAAATTTATGATATTAAATTATTCCATTCGATTTCATGCTGCTAATGATTGAGAACCTTAATTTGTTTAAGAATTAAAATTCCCGTTCCCCTATGGCGTTTTGTAATCGGGCCGAAAGGATCAATGAAGAAGAAAATTGAAGAAGAAACGAGTTGCCGGTTAAATTTTCCGGTGAAGAAAAAAAAGAGACGTCCTATAGGTATGTAACTTCTTTTAATGTCTTTAAATTATCTTAGTTTGCGTGCAAAATGTGTTATTTTCCTTTCTTTTTTATACGTTTACAGTTCTCTATTTCCTATACTATTATTTAATAATTCTCTATTTTCTATACTGTTATAGAAATCAGATCATCATTAAAGGGGCATAGCTCAAATTTTGAATGTTGAATATATTGCTTATTTTCTTAAATGTTGTCTTCAAGCGATAATCTGAAGTCTCCTTTACAACACATGATAAGATT